TGGTGGAGTTCTTCTGGGACACCACCAACACTTTCCACTTTCCTTGGGGTGAGATGATGGTCACCCCAACCGACTTCAGTCTCATTACGGGACTAGAGTTTAGTTCCACTGCGCTGCCGTTTGACAGCAACATCAGCGTCTTCTCTCCTGAGGTTGAGGAGTTGTTGGGTCCGATTGCTGTTCGGGCTCGTGCTGAGGTAGAGTCGACTCCGTTTAGTGCCAAGGGTATTCGCCGATCGACTCTGACGACGGCTTTTGAGGATGACGCGACCACCCGAGAGCAGCGGGTGCGCATCTTTGCACTTATCTTGTTGTTAGGGACGTTTTCCCCTGACAAGGGTAGTAAAGTACTGCTTTACTACCTGCCTGCGGTCCGTGATGTTTACTTGATCGGGACTTATGACTAGGCCAACTTGACCTATGTTGATTTTGTTCGAGCGTTGCGAGACTCGTGTCGACACCGGTCCTTCACGGGGAACGTCTCTTTGTCCAGCTTTTGGAGAGTCGTAGAGGTATACTTTATCTCTAAGATTTTGGTTAGCACTTGCTGATACTTTTTGTCTTTTGTAGATCTGGTTCTACGAGTACTTTCCTTCGGTTGTGCCGGCGAGATCGTCGCCACGCGGGTTTCCAGTGAGCGCCTGTTGAGGAGGCCGCCACGTTTGGATGTCTACCGCTTATGTTCGAGATCAGATCCTCTCGGTATGGTTCTTTGCATACTTGAACACTTTCGTATTATCTTTGGTAGATTCCCATCTCATAGGCATTCTTCGCAGGAGCCTGATGTGCAGTACCGGCCATGGAACGACTTGGTTGTCCCTGGGTTAGAAGCTTAGTACACCGCTGAGCGTCTCTACTTCTTAAGGACGTATGGAGCGGTTGCGTACCTTGGAGAGAGGGTTGCCATTCAGCATTCCTCGGATAATTTCGTCGTTGTTGTACCTCCGCCGCATCATATGTTCAATGACGCGAGGCTGGTGAGCATGTCGGAGAGGGATGACACCCTTTGGCGATCTCATGCGATCCCTGGGCAGTGCTATGAGTAGGAGTTGTTACCGCTATTAGCTCCACCCCTGTTCTGTCTGAGGAGGTGGCAGTATGATTTTCATATTTTACCTTTTGCTAAGTAGCCCCCAAGTGATACTTTACTGACTTTGATTTGTTTTTGTCAGGCTTGGCCTACTAAGTTCTTGCCACCTCGCATGTATATCCATTACCAGGGGACATACGGGCCCATCGAGGAGATGATTCCTTCGGCTCCTGAGGGTCAGTGCTTCGTGGAGCGGTCGATTCCTCGCCACCAGTCTTAGGTAAGTTCATTTATTTGCATTTTGTTCATATATGTTATGCATGGTTACTGACTTTATGCCTTTGATAGTTCTCGCGCGAGGTGTTCACGGCGATGGCGTGGTGTATAGACGCCTTCCGGAGCCAGCTCGTTCGGATGAGGAATGTGGCTACATGTCATCGCGTCGACGCTGTTCAAGAGGTAGCCTTCTTTGTTATTTCTGCATTATTGCTTCTATTTTGATTGTTTTTTACTTGGTTTCTTCTTACAGGGCTTCTCGTACCCGGACGAGACCTGAGGTCCGGAGAGACCCGGCGAGGTCTAGCTCGAGACGTCGCCGTACTGGCTCTGGCGGTCGGGGTGGTCGTTCCGAGGTTGCTTGGACCGAGGCGATGGAGGGCTCGGGCTCTTCATTTGAGGGCTCACGTGCTAAGCCGGTAGGCGAGGGAGAGGCTACCTCGGCTCTTAGAGGTGGTAGGATGTACGAGGTCGCTCGTCATCGCAGCACCCTCTGCAGCCTCAACCTCAGGGCGATCTTGGGTGGACTGGTCATGTGTTGAGTTTTCCACCTCCCAAGAGACCGGAGCTGGAGCTGGTGGAGAGTTTACTCCTCGTACTACGGAGTTCTATGAGATGATGGGCGTCTCTCATCATTTGTGTCCTCCAGCGACGTAGTTTATACCTGTGTGTTTTTTTATATTTATTTTGACTTGAATAGAACTTTGTCTTATTGACTCATTTATTAGACATATTTGTACATACATATTACTATGAGCTTATTTATTTAGCATTTATTTTTCATTTTTATGTGCATATTTGTGTGTGCAAAGAATTGTGATAATTAATAATTTGGCGCGAAAATTCCGTCATTTTTATTATTGATGGAGGGTATCCGACTTTCTCCCCCCCAAAAAAAAGAAAATGAAAAATAAAAAAATTGGACTTACAAAAAACTTAAAATTAAGTCTAAATAAAATCCAAAAAGAGAAAAAAATATAATTAATATATTAATTAAAAGGGTATAAAAAAGGATAAAAAAATCGTAAAGCCCTTGTTCAGATTCGAATTAGCCAAAAAAAGCGGGTTTTTTTAAAAGATCTCTAATAAGACACGTCAGCGTCACGTGGCGCCACACGTTTTGCGTTGGTGCCATACGCTACTGCTTGCGCTTGGCGCCAGACTCTGGCGTTTGGCGCTGGTGAGCGCTGACTCTGAATCCTTTTCAGTTTGAAAATGTGCCGATGTTGTGTATAAATAGTCCCCTGGTCTACCGATTTTCTTCATAATTCAGCAGATTAAACATAGTCTTAGCTTTTGAAAAATAATCATGTCTTTAATTACTAAGAGTTTTACCAACTTTACTCACGAATGGTGCCGGTCCCTAACTGCCAAGGAGAGAAAAGAATTAGACTTTTTTCATATGGGGGGTATTTATGGTGTCAAGGGGGTAGATCTTAATATAGACTTCATTCATACCGCCTTAGAATATTGGGATGTGGATACTCATTGTTTTAAACTAGGGTGTGATGAAATTAGCCCTTTACCGGAGAATTCGATGCTATCTTAGGCTTCCCTGCATTAGATCTTGTAGTAATCCCTAGAATAAATGAATATTATTATAAAGATTTTGAGCGCTTCTTTAATTTAAAAGACAAAGATCTAACAAATATTGTAGATGGTAGCATAGTTTATTTGAAAGAATTTGTACGCCATTACTTTGATAGACCTTATTCTGAATCTTTCATGTTTATAGAAGAAGGGCTTTTCTCTTTTGCATGCTTAACCAATATCTTCTCACTAGTGGTAGAACTAATGAGGGCCAAGCAATTATATCAACTGTTTTGGATGAGATTGAATCTGGGAGAAATCCAGTGCCATTAATTGCTGGAGAGGCTATGCTTAGTCTTGATGAATTGAAGAGAAATCCAAAAGAACCTTTTCGGGGCTCTCCAATTTTATTACACGTAGAAAAATAATATTTTTAATTACAGAAATCAAAAACATATTTTTGTATAGTAATATTAATTTATTTGCATTGAATTTTTTTTTTTTGCAGATGTGGCTAATGGAGATACTAGAATTAATTAGTCCTCCCGACAATGTTGAAAAATACACTCCAAATTGCTTTGTGAGGAGAAAGAAACGCTTCTCTAAGATGGGGCGCCATGAATGGAAGAAAGTCTTTGCCTCTTGTAACTTTACCATCAACCAGGTCATCCCTTGGTGGAAAATAGAGAGGATGGTTGGTGTCAACAAGCAATCCTTCTGTCGTCTTCCCAGCTTAACCAAGATGACTTTTTATTATCCCTGCAGGGTAAAAAGACAGTACGACCTACTTCAAACAATTCCTTCTGGGGATCTTCGCCGTCCCTATGAATTCCATGTTTCTCAAGAAGTAGAAAAATTTGATGCATATTGGAGCGCTAGACCTTTATGGGAAGTGATTAACAAAAAGGTTCCTCCTTCCTTGCCCAATGATGTGAAGAGGTGGCTTCTCAAGAAACCTTCAAAGGACATGAAGAAAAATCAGAGTAAGTCTGATGTGAAGAGTCGTCTAGGTGACAAGGTAATTCCTGTTAAGGAACGCTTGGGTGAAAAGGTTGAATTTAAAACACCTATAATGCCTAAGAAGAAGAGCTCTACAGAAGATAAAGGGAAAAGAAAGCTGACACTTCAGAGAAGAAGGCTTGGGTAGAGAAGAAACATGGAGTCCTAGCTAAGGGAGAAACTATTTACTCCAAAATTGAATGTAGGTCCTCTAAAGGATACCTACTAGCTAAAGCCATGGATGATGAAGAGGATGCAGATAAAAATTGGAAGAGAGCAAAGAAAGAGAAGAAAGATTGAAGCATTGCTTAACTTTCAATTATTAGACTTAGTTTTAAATTTAAAGTTAATTTGTTTTATTAAGCTTTATTAAATTCCATCAATATTGTAATTTGTTAGTTTATTTTATTAATTAAATTTCAGCTTTTTAATTAAATCATCTCCTTTAAATTTAATTTATTAAAGCAATGAAAAACAGAAAGTTTAATTTTCCAGAAATCTTTTTTTTCGAGTACGAAAGTCGAAAATTTTCCAAAAAATACCGAAATATTCCTAGGTGCTCCTAGAAGAAATGGAGTCGCCATTGTTATTAAAATCCCAATTTAAATCTTAAAATCTTACGATTTTACGATTCATGTATAGCATACGATTCGATTTACGATCCTACTCGATTTTACATATTTTTCTGAACTAGCGAAATCCTTACAAGTAACAAACATGTTTATATAGGTTTCTATAAATATATATTGTCAAGTATTGATTTCTTAATGGGTAAATAACTATTATCTATCAATAATAAGGTTTCAAACAGATAATTTCAATATATTTATTTAAATTTATATTGACGTCTTCAGCCCCGTTCCGGAAAATTTATGGGCCCTAGGCATAATGTAAGAAGAGGGCCCCCTACGTAATCAAATTTTTTTATACGCAATAGATTTAAATAAAAACACAATGAAAATAACTTATATTATTTAAATAGTAAGTCTCGATACACAATCATGACTTTGCATAATATTTTTATAAATTTCTCCCTCCTAAAAAATCAGAACAACCGATTTCTTCTAGCATTTTTTGATGCAAAATCATTTATAATTACATCAATATCGATGTTTTCTAACATATCCGCCTCAATTGACAATGTTGCCAAACCATTCAACCTTTCTTATGACATTGATGATGACCTCAGGTAAGTTTTGATCAACTTCAATTTTGAAAAACTTCTTTCCGCACTTGCCACGGTCACAGGCACCGTTAATAGAACTCGATATTCAATGGAAACGTTTGGATAACTATCTGCAAGTTTAACAAATTTAAGAATATCAATGGCAGACATGAAATTGTTTGGCAAAGTAAATTGTAACACCTTTAATTCAGAGAACAAATCATCTACATCAACATCTGATAAATTGCCATGAGAAAAGGTAGTATGAAATCTAACACAACATTCTTTTAACTCATCATCATCATATGACTTTAACTTTCTTGAATCATATAAAAAACCAAAAATCCTTTCAAATGTCTTCAATTCCTCAAATCTGTTTTTCAAAGATGTAATTGCCATATCAACAACAACAAGAAAATAATGAACTCTAAATGATTCTTCAGGTGACATATTTTCATCTTGATCCTCATTGTTCTCTCCAAAATATTTTTTTCTTATCATAGTACGTTTTGTTGGAAAGATGGGTTCAACATCCATTTCAAATGCAATAATTTTTGCAAGACTCATACTTTTTGTAAAACCTTCTTCTCGATATTTTTCAAAATAAGAAACAACTTCTTCTACATGTTTTATTGTATCATCAATGCACATATTCTTAGATTGCAATTTTTTGCTAATCATATTTATAGCAAATAGAATATCATACCAAATAACCATACCAAGCAAAAACTCAAAACTTCCAATTGCATTAAATAAACTCTGCCTCACTTTTTGTCTTTGCATCATTATCACAAGAATCATATAATTCCGACAATGCCAATCTTATTTGAGGACATTGAAATTTAATAGCTTTAACACTCTTAATTTGACTTTCCCAACGAGTATTAGACAAATATTTCATTGTTAAACCGGGAACATTATCAAGTAAAATTTTCCATCTTTTTGTAGATCCCGAAAAGAGTGAATATAAGCGTTGTATAACTCCAAAAAAGGAAATAGCCTTAACTCAAGAATGAGCCATATCACCAAGAGTTAAATTAAGACTATGACAAGCACATGTCATGTATAATGCTCTAGGATTAAATTCAAGAAATCTCTTTTGAACACCTTGATGCTTTCCTTTCATATTGGAACCATTATCATATCCTTGCCCCTTAACATTATCAACATTAAGTTCAAGGGCATTTAACACATCTAGTAGCTCATTAAATAGTCCAAAAAAAAAGTCCAAAAATGTATCATCAACTTTTAAAAAGTCCAAAAAAAAAACTCTTCAATTTTAATTTTGTTATTTGACATATTTACGCATCGAATTATAAGTCATTTGTTCTTGATGGCTCACATCAGGGGTGCAATCAAGAATTACAGAAAAATATTTTGCCTCTTTGATGATATTAATAATAGACTTTTTAACACTTTGGGACAAAAGAGAAATAAACTCATTTTGAATTTTATGTCCAAGATAATGATAATGAATTTCCCAATCTTGAATTCGTCTCACATGATCTTGCATTATTAAATCAAATTCTGCAATCATTTCAATCAATCCAAGGAAATTGCCATTGCTATTTTGATATAATTTTTCATTTGTTCCTCTAAAGGCAAGATTATTTTTAGCAAGACATTTCACAACCGAAAATATCCTACGTAGAACTTGTCTCCAACGCTCCTTTTCTTTTATAATTTCTTCTTGCAAAGTGCTTATCTATTGTTTCATTTTTATCCAATCTCATTCTCAATTCATTCCAAGTATTCATATTAGTCATATGCTCAGTACTATTTTCATGTTGTTTGAGCCTTTGACTAATATGTTTCCAATCACTTAAACCATCATTCGCTAGCAAACTTAAGTTACTAGAAGATTTAAACAACTTACAACAAAAACAATATGCTTTATCATTAGCTTTGCAATAAACTAACCATTTTTTATCATTAATCTCAAAATTGGTTAATTTTATGGAATAACAGGAATATGAAAAATGCCTAAAAATTTTGTCCAAAGGAAATTCAAGATTCATTTCTCTAATAGGCCCCTTTTCAACTAAAATATCCTTTGATTTGGTGTCAAGATTTGCCCAATTTCTTGGATCATAAATATCAATATAAAGAATTTCTTGCTCATTATCAACACCAAGATTATCAAGATTAGAATTGTTAGGCATATCAGTAGGAACACTTGAATCGTCATTATTAACCTCATCATTCTCATGATCAATATTGTCATTTGACTGATCAATATTTTCATTGGACTGAGCCACATTTTTAACAACAAATTTATCAATAGATCCAAATTGTGATTTGATCAACTCCTCATTTCTTCTTCTTTTATTTCGTTTTTGACTACCAGATAAATGCTTTTTAGGCAACATATCATATAATAAAAAAAAATTAAAAAAAAAAACTAGATTAAGAGCAATAGCACCTGTAAAATTGTAGAATCCGAAGTGGGCATATATGTAACTGGCAGCAGTCTCAAATTTCCACAACTCTAAAATACTCAATTTAACTGATTGATAACCTGTTACAATTCAAAACAGAAATTAGAAGTTTGAAACATGATAAATTTGATAAATACGGAGTAAAAAAACAAACAAAGGAAGAATTGTATACCTTTGTCTAATCGGTAACCAAATAAAAGGATCAATTTACCAATGATGCCATGAAATTCATCATAAACAACAAATAATAAGAAGAAGATGAGAGTTGAATATTTGGTGATAGATGAATTATTTTCGCTGATATTTATCTTGTATAATATTTTAGCCGTTGCCATAATATTAATTAGCCAAAATTAAAAGGCTTGAATTTCGGTAATGAAATAAATTTAAAACGGTGTATTTGGGAAGATTAAAATTCTGGAGATAATTCTCATAGAAACTGGTAGATAGAAGAAGAAGTGAAGCGTTGCATTGTAATCTCCACCTAAATTGACAGCTAATTAATATACTCATTTAATATTAATTGCTAAAAAAAAGGCAATAATTATCTTCTTATCTTTTTAAAACTAGTTGCCTTTTTTTTTTAAACAAGTACGAAGCACATTTCAATTAGTATAGAAGCTGAATTTTTTTTATTTGTGGGCCCCCTTTTGGCGTGGGCCCGCACTCGGGGCCTACCCTCAGGGCCGGGCCTGGACGTCTTGATTATGCATGTCGGTAGAATCTTACAATTCTACGATTCGATTCTGATAGCCCCTTCCGATTCAAAGTAGAACCCCGATTTTAATAACTTTGGGCGCCGCTTCTTTACGACTGGCGCCGGCTGCGGCAATCTGGCGTCAGACAACAGATGTTGTCGTCTGGTGCTAAGGTTCATCGGCCGGCGACGGATCTTTTTCTGTGACGCCGATGCTTCGTCGAATTTATGTCGAATTTATTTTTAAATCTGGGATACGAGGTTTGCAGAAAGTAAAGTGGCCGCACCCGTAAAGGGTTGCCTACGTATCATTTCCTAAGGAATCAGGCCAAACGTAGCTCTCTTGAGTATCCTACTCAAGTAATTATGGGTAGTACTTTTAAGTTGGTCAAGGTTTGTCATGTTCGAGAACTCATTGCCATCAATATCAGTTAATTTTGTTGCACCTCCTGATATGATTGTTTTGACAATATAGGGTCCAGACCAATTAGGCCTAAATTTGCCCCTTGGATCTAAAACATTTTTCCTTAATGTTTTTAATAACAAGTCTCCTACTTTGATATTTCTTGTATTGACCTTCTTTTTAAAATTCCTAGCCATACGAGTTTGATAGCATTGAGTATGATGTAGAGCTTCTAGTCGTTTTTCATCAAGTAGAATTAGCTCCTCATATCTCGCCCTAGTCCATTCAACTTCATCGAGTTTACTTTCTAGTGCAATGCGTAGAGATGGTATCTCTAGCTCTACAGGTTGTACGACATCCATTCCATAAACCAAGGAGAATGGCGTATTTCCTGTTGATGTGCGAATTGACGTGTGATAACCCCAAAGTGCGAAATGGAGTTTTTCAGGCCAATCCTTGTAATTTTCTGTCATTTTCTCGATGATAGTCTTTAGATTTTTATTAGCTGCTTCAACTGCTCCGTTTGCTTAAGGTCTATAAGGAGAAGAATGATGGTGTTGAATGCCATATTTTTGTAACAATTCTTCACACTCAGCTTGAAAGTGAGTTCCATTGTCACTTATCATTTCATGTGGGACTCCATATCAACAAATAATATTCCTTTCGATAAAGAGTGCTACATGTTTTGCAGTGAGTTTAGCATATGATTGTGCTTCAATCCACTTTGTGTAGTAATCAATTGCTACTAGGGCATCTTTTTACATATTGATCACAATCCCTATTCATGGTAGTCCAATAGTATCCTTCTCGTATTATCTTTTGGACTATCATTTTGCCATTAACATGAATTCCACAAATGCCTTCGTGGACTATCTTCATAGCTCTTTGAGCATCCTTTTTCCCTAGACATAAGAGAGCTCGACCCTTAGGTACCTTTTTATGTAATTCGTTGTCTATGAGTACGTATTGGGAAGCCAAGAATCTTAATGCTCGTTTTTCTCTTTTATCAGCATGAGGAGGGTATTCTCCTTTAGTGACGTAGTTAAGTATATCCGTATACCACGGTTCTTCTTCTTCTTCATCTTGGATCACTTCATCATCTTCTATAGCTTGAATATAAGCCGGTTTATGCCTTTTTTTCTATAGTTAGAGGAATTTGCTTGATTTCCGTAGGAATCCTAACCATTGAGGCTAGTCTTGCCAAGGCATCAGCAAATTGATTTTCCTCTCTAGGTAGATATGTGTATTCTACCTTTTCTAACTGATTGGTGAGAATTTCCAGATAAGTCTGGTAAGGGGATAGACTTTCGCTCCTTACTTTCCATCTTTTAGAAATCAGGTTGATGAAAAATGAAGAGTCCCCGAATATTCGTAATTTCTTCACTCCCAATGCCAAAGTTGTTTCAAGGCCTACCACGCATGCTTCGTACTCAGCAACGTTGTTGGTAATGTCGAAATCTAGCTTTATGGAGATTGGAACATGCTCTTCCTTAGGTGATACTAATAATACTCCAACGCCAATTGAAAGGAATGGTGTCCTTCGAACAAGTGTATTATTCTGATAGTGGGTTCAGAATTATTAGAAAGCTAATATATTCAGCAAGGTCAAGTGATCGGAATGCCTGGGTGGAGGCCGCTTCCGATCAGTAATATTGATGTATAATTAATGTACGAACCGACTCGAAGAATTAATTCGAAAGAAATTAATTCGTCGCCTGAGTATTAAATATTCAGACGTCGGAAATTCGAGTTTAGAGCGTCAAAACCGAGCGTCGGAAGTCGAGTCAAAATAATAAAAGACGAGACACGAAAATAAATAAATCAACAAGACCAAAATACCCCTAGCATCGGAATGCCCCGAGCAAACCGAATGCTAAGGGCATTTGGTATAGCATGGTGGCTAGCATGCGCACCAAGCCGAGCCTAGGCGGGCTGGTGCGTGCTAGCGCACCAATGCTAGCACAGCATGCTAGCTGTGCTAGGCCAACGCGCGCAAGGTGCAAGGCACTCAGCTAGCTCCCCGCATCATTGATGCGCGGCTTGCTGGCCGAGTGCGCCAAGTAGCCCGCACAAGCAAGTGTTGGGCGTGCTAGGCCAGCAGTGCCAAGCAGCCCGCACAAGCAAGTGCTAGGCGTGCTAGGCCAGCAGCGCCAAGCAGCTCGCACGCTTGTGCTGGGCCTGCTGGCAGCCTCACATGGCAGCCTACCTTGGGTTGCCTTGGTGCCCAAGTGTGATTCCATGCGAAGCA